CTCCTTCTCCTACTCTTCCTCCTCCTCCTCCTCCTCCTCCTTCTCCTCCTCCGCCTCCTCCTCCTCCTCCCCCTGACTCAAGGTGGCTTCAGGCCGTGGCCTATTTCTCGTCGCCATTGGACCCGACACCTGAACACCCCCAGCCGTGTTCCCGCTCTCGTGCGGGGCCACTGTGCCCTGTGCGACCTCTTCGGCGAGGAGGCGGACCCGGGCGCGCCAAGTGGTGGTGCGCCAGGCCTAGGCGCGCACTGCACACCTGCTGGCCATCCTCAAACCCGCGCCCACGACGGAGGCCCTGACGTGCCTGCCCGCTGCGGATGGCGCCGCGCTCGCTGCGCAGTGGGTTCGGGCAACCTCGGCTTCGCGCACGCCTCTTCGCAGCCAGGCTGCCGTGTACCATCCTCGGGCCGTCCTTCCTGTGCGTGGTAACGCTGCTCGCGCTGCCCCCGCTTGTGGAGATGCTCGTCGTGTGCTTCGACCCGTTGCTGCTGGTCTGGATGGGCCTCGGCCAGGTGTCGACGATCGTGCGAGTGATGCTGGTTCCCTCGACACGTCCGATGCCGAGGAGGACGGCGTCTCGCCGTCCATCGGCACAGTCGACTCCGACGACGTCGCCTACGACAGGCGGTACAGCCTCGAACTCGGACGACCTGCACCTGTTCGCGGAGAAGCCGCAGCTGTTGCCGCCGCTGGTGCCGTACCTCGTGGAGCTTCTGCCGCCTCCGCTCGTGCCCATCTGCGCGCAGCGCCTAGTGTGGAGGCAGTCGACCCTCTCTCTGGTGCGGCCGACGGCGCGCCGCAGCACGACGATGGTGGTCTCGCGGTGCGTGTGGGTGGTGCAGTCCATGTTCCCCGGCCTGCTCGGCACAGTGTGGCGGGCCTGGCTGCGGCTGCTGTCGCCGAGTGTGCCGATCCTTGCGGGCCCGTGCCTCGTGGAGCTGCTGCCGCCACTGGTCGTGCCGATCGTTGCGAGGGAGCTGGTGGAGACGTCGCCGCCGCCGGCGCCCTCGTCGACAGGGGCGTCGCGTCCGCCACCGTGGCGGGCGAGGTGGTCACCCTGGTGATGGCGATGGTCTGCGACGCGCTGCGGGCGGAGGCCGCCCTGGCCGCGTGCAGGCTCTCTCTGGGCCGCCCTCCTCCTCGGCCTCCTCCTCCTCCCGGGAGGAGGAGGAGGAGGAGGAGGAGGAGGAGGAGGAGGAGGAGGAGGAGGAGGAGGAGGAGGAGGAGGATGGCCTCCGCCCGCCTGCCCTCTGCAGCGCGCGGGGGGGGGAGTAGGGGCCTGTCCGCCGACCCCCCGCCCACTCCGGCCGCCCGAGGCCCCGCCCACCTGTGCCCTGTCTCCCTGATTGAAGCTGTGCGCAGCCCGCCTGGCTTTTGGCGGAAGAGGTTCGCTCTCGCCCCGCCGACCAACAAAAAGCTGTCCGCCGACCCCCGCCTCGGCGGGCGCGGCGGCGAGGCGGGCGGGCAGGGAACTGGGAGGGGCGGAGGGCCCGCGGTGGCCGCCGAGACGGAGCGCGCCGCCGAGCCAGGACTTTGGAGGGGGAGGGGGGCGGCGCGGGCCCTGTGCGCCGGCCCCCGCTGCGGCGGGGGCGGTGGCGACGGGGGCGGTGTGGTTTTGGGGGGGGGGCTCGTGCGCGGTGTCATGCTGCAGCCAGGCTGTCCCCTCCTCCTCCTCCTCCTCCTCCTCCTCCTCCTCCACCTCCTCCTCCTCCACCTCCTCCACCTCCTCCACCTCCTCCTCCTCCTACTCCTCCTCTACCTACGTCCCTTCCGCGGCGAGTGGCGACGGAAATGCTCGGGAGCTCGCTTGGGACATGATTGCCCAAGGTGAGGGCTCGTGTTGTATCTGCGACGCGGGCCTCTTGTGCAGGTTGCACGACCCTGACGACGGGTGGGACGACTGGGGATGCGACCTCCCTCCCCGCAATGTGCCCATTCGTAGGACGAGATCGTGCGGAGACTTCTTAGTGTCACCATTCTTCCTGATTTGATGTCTGGCTATGCTTCTTGTTAGCCGCGGTGTCTGTGCTGTGCTGTGCTGTTTTTGTTCCTGCAGTGCCGCCCTTCGGCGCTGTATCAAGTGCTCTGTCTGCGTCGCTATTGTGATCGCCGACTCGCCTGCCGCCAACCGTGTCGCTTGGCTCTGCTCGTGCCCGCTGCTTGGTTTGTCCTCTCTCTTTTAGCTCTGTGTTGCGCTTGCTATCCTTGTCTTACCGTCTCACCTTTTCCCTGGTCCCGTCTCGGCGCACTCATCGGCTTTGGTGGTGGTGCCTCCTCCTCCTCCTCCTCCTCCTCCTCCTCCTCCTCCTCCTCCTGCCGTTTCTGCCGTTTCTCGCTAAGCCAGCGTCTGTGCAACACTCACAAGGCGCGGATCGCAAGCAGCGACCCCCGGAGGTCGTGCCCACGCTCGAACGACGGCCCAGGGCCCCCGACCCCGAGGAAAGAAGAGGGGAACGAGGACCTCAAACGTAACAGAGGGGAAGAGACGGGGCCGGGTTTCAAGGTGGGGCCCCTAGGGGCCCCAAAACGCGCGGCGCGCGGCCGCCCGCGCGGCGGGCCGCCCGCCCGTGACGGCTCTGTGCTCCCCGCAGCGGGGGGGCGTAGCCGATAGGGGGGGAGGGCCACCATCCCTCCCCCCCTCAGAAGAGCAAGTATTGGTGCCCGCTCTTCTGCTCGTCGTCGCTTGCCCCCCTCGGTGGCCGCCAGCCTCCTCCGCCTTAGGAGGGCGGCGCGCTCACCACCCGTGGGGGCGATGGCGTTGAGGAAGCCGCTGTTCAGGTTGGTTACCTCCGTGAAGCCATGCTGGTGCCCGATGCTCTGCTGGTGCCCGGTGCTCTGCTGGTTCCCGTAGGTGTGCTGCTGGTTCCCGTCGGCGCGGGGTGGAGGCTTGGCCGCCAGGCTGGTGTTGGGGCACGCCGCCGGAGACGCTCTCCTGGGGCGTGGTGTTTCTGGTGGCGTCGCCGTGGTTGGCTGGGCCATCAGGGTCATCGGGATCGATCTCGTCCTCTGGGGGGTCGGGCACGGCCTCGAGGATGAAGCGCACCTTCTTGGTCGTATGGGTTGGTGTGGTGGCAGCCGTCGGAGTCCTCCTCGTGGGAGTAGTCCTGGGGCTCGCCTCGTGGGTAATCTCATCTGTGCCGCTCTCGGACTCGTCATCCTCGTCGTCCTCACTCTCGATGCCGTCGTCACGGACGTGCTCGAGGAGGTCTTCTGTCATCCGCACAGCCTCCTCAAAACTGGATCTGCTGACCTTGTTTGACGCTTGAAGGAGGATCGTGGGAAGGGACGAGGACGATCTGGGGAATGCCGACACACCAGTCGCCCGCTCTATGAACCGTATGTGTTGCTTTACCTGGTCGAAGATGATGGCGGCGCCAGCGCATTCGAAGGGGATTGGAATGTCTTGTTCCCAGGAAGAGCGAGTCGCAGGCTCGGCGCTTGTAGCTGATGACGTCTGGCTCCCCAGCTTCGCCCCGCAGCCTGCAGCCACTGCCGTCCCTTCTTCTCGCACGCGCGCCCCGAAGGAGTCGTCCTGGGGCCAGGGGCCCCCGAGGCCTGCGAGGGTCGCCTTGACGCGGGCTGAAACGGGGCCGCTATTGAGAACCATGTCGACGAGGCAGCAGGCGTTGGGGGGGGGTGATCCTGCCGCTTGGAGCGCGGCTATGGCCGCCGCACGCCATTGGGGGGTGACGCCGTTGCTGGACGTGGAGGGTCGTCCAGCTGCCGGCCGTCGGCTGCCGGCCGCCGCTGCCCGCTGCCGCTGCTCGCACCACTGCCCGCAGCAGGCAGCCACTGCCCGCTGCCGCTGCTCGCACCACCGCCCGTCGCCGCCTGTTCTCGCAGGAGGCTGCCGCTGCTCGCTCCACTGCCCGCCGCCGCCTGTTCTCGCTGTCTTGCGCCACTGCACGCACCACTGCCCGCCACCGCCTGTTCTCGCAGGCTGGCGCCACTGCCCGCCGCCGCCTGTTCTCGCAGGGGGCAGCCACTGCCAGCGCCACTGCCAGCCACCGCCTGTTTTCGCAGGCTCGCACCACTGCCCACTGCCACTACCGTCTCTTCTCGCGCGTATGCCCGCGAATGTTTCTCGCTTTGCGCGCGCTCAGGTTCATTAGGCACTTCTCGCGCGCTCGTGTTCTGGCCACATGCCCTGATAGCGGCGCTGCAGCTGATCGCGTCGGGCTCCAGCGTCGCCACCAAGGGGGGGTCGGTAAGGGGCGTCGTCGGGGGTCGTCGGGGGGCGTCGGCGAGGGGTGTCGAAGTGGGGGCGTCGAGAGTCGTCGAGGGGCGTCGGGCGGGGTCATTGGGGGGCGTCGTCGAGAGGCTGCCACTGCACGCACCACTGCCCACGACCGCTCGCACCACTGCCCGCTCGCACCACTGCCCGCTCGCACCACTGCCCGCTCGCACCACTGCCCGCACGCACGTCCTTCTGACTACCACTGCCCGTCCGCGCGCACCACTGCCCGCTCGCACCACTGCCCGCCCGCTCGCACCACCGCTGCCTCGTCGCGCCACTGCCCGCTTGCACCGCTGCCCGCTCGTCTGGGTCCCTCTGCTCGTCTGGGTCCTCCTTCTGGTTGTCTTGGTCCTCCTTCTGGTCGCCTGAGTCCTCCTTCTGGTAGTCTGGAGCCTTCTGGTGTTGCTTGTGGTTGTTGTTGCGGCGCGCCGTGGCTGCGCGCGCGGCCTCCGCCGCTGCCGCGCGCAGCAGGGCCGCCGTGGGGTAGGCGACGGCGGGCCGAGACGTGCCGCACCATTGCTCGCCACTGCCCGCCACCGCCCACTGCTCGCACCACTGCCCGCCGCCAGCTGCGCTGCCACTGCTCGCACCACTGCCCGTCGCAGCCTGTTCTCGCAGGCTCTCACCACTGATAGCA